TTCCGTTGTTAGCATGTTGGGATACATTCTGCGAAATACAGATAGTGGCAAGGTGTTTCCTTGAGCACCAGTATCTACCTTGAGTCTGAGCGTGTGTACGCCTGGACGGTTGCGTAGCTTGATGTCTAACCCTGCGAATGCTTCATCGCGTTGCATCTTATCTAGACACATGGTTGACACAGTTATGTTGCTGAATTGCAACCTATCAAATCACTCACCCAGGTCCCCCGCACTGTCTTGTGCATTGTGGATAGCGTCTGCATGTATATGACTATGGTTATCTCTCATGTAAGGAGTGTTGCTGCGAGCTCGGTATGGCTTTCCTCCCTTGTAATCAGACCTTGAGCGTCCACGGTCACCTGAGGGTCCCTGACCACGTGGTGGGGATTTGTGCCATCGTTTCTGTTTGCTCGCTTGACAAACGCGTGCTCAGTGGTTCATTCTGCCACAAGCTTTGCACTCTGCTCCATATGCTGGGCACTGTTCCCGTGGTTTGTACTGGTGTTTTAACCCACAATTACGGCATATGCCACTAGCACGTTTAGTGACACCGTGTATAGCAGCAGTTGGTACACTCATGTCCTTAAGCTGTTGTACATGTAAGTCTGCCGCTTCATATGCCCTGCCTAGTACTAGTGCGTCTGCTAGTTTATAGGTTTTGTCCTTGCTCAGTCACTCTTTTTGATATTCAGGTATAGGGGTGCTGGCAATGATCAATTCAACCAATCTGTCATTGAGCTCATTTCCCTCAAAGTCAAATCTTATTGCCTGTAACTTACTTCTATTCACGAAGTCGTCAACGGATTCTCCTTGTTTTTGGCGGAAATGCATTAGTTTCAGGCTACTAATACGGTAGTTTTCAGACGGCTTTAATTGTTCGGCGAATCTGGCGAATATGCCGCTCGCTGATTTCCTCTCATCGTCTGTTAGCGTCCACGCGTTATAGCGGCGAAGACCCTCATCCCCCACTTGGAGCAGTATATAATTGACTTGGTCCTCGTCTTTTATCCCCTTTACTTTCAAATATATTTCAAGCCTTTGCTTGAAAAGCTTGAAAGCGTCTGCCTGGTCAAGCAAAGCCCAGTCCATGCGTGGAACTTGCTCACGCGACATGCTTGTTGACTGCTCTACCGTCTACAGCCTTTGTCACAACGCGCACCGTGCTGCCATCGCACGAGACGAGCTCAAGGCTGCGCGCACATCCGGGCACTACATGCCGATCGTTGGCATGGCGCGCTGTAGCCACTCAGCCCACAAAACGAGGCATTATGCACCGCGGGCTTTCACACATACACTCGAAACTGACATGAGTTGCCGTTGCTGTCTGAG